TTAAATATAATATAAATATAAATATAAAATTTACAATATTATATTATATTATATATACAATATTATTATATATCGTGTCGAAAGCCATTCGACATTTCAAAAAAAAAGAAAGAAAAAAAAGGAATTTTGACTTCATCGATAAAAACGTAGTAAAGGAATAAAAGAGAAAGAGAGGAGGAGGACAAGCAACGGAACCAAGGTCAACACTGTTACACCTTCCTTTTTATCGGCTCGACGAGGCAGGTCCAAAGGACTAGTCCCCTCCTCCCCCTCCCCCTCCCCCCAAGCATCATCCCATTCTACCCCACCAACCTTTTCATCCATCCATCCATCCATCCAAGCAAGCAACAATCCCCACTCTATGTTCTACCAACAGCAGAAGCAGCAGCAGCAAGAGGAACACCATCATCATCGTCGTCATATCCATCTCGGTATAATGGCTCGGCCGTTTACTTTTTTCGGATCTTTTACAATACCCATGGAAAGGTAGGAGGAAGGAAACCGGTTTAAGTTTAGAAGTAGTCACAACATACATACACACACACACACGTCAAATGCACCGAATTTTCCTCCTACACTAATATTTTGCTCATTTTATTTATTTTTATTTTTTTCTTTCGAAACAACGTAATCGATATATATATATATATATATATATTTTCTTTTTATCAGGTTTTAATTATATTAATAAGAGAGAAATATTTGGGTTCATCTTAATTAACTCCTCCTCCTTCTCGTGTGTTCTCTGTCAAAAATAAAAATAAAAATAAAAACAAAAATCGATGCATTTATTTTCTTTATCGTTAAAAACAATACGATTTTTCTTGTTCGTCAAATATACTCTTCTTAATTCACCATAGAATATTTTCTTTCAAATACGAATATCGTATCGTGGTAGTTTATTATTATTATTTTATTTTTTATGTTTTTTTTTTTTAACTTAAACTTTTTCTTCGCGAATCATCGATCGTTGGATGATCGGTGTTTGAAAGAATTCAATGAACTTTTCGAAACAATTTTAAACGAGATTATCTTTACCCTATACTACCCTTTATACAAAATTAAATCAATTTTGTTATTCTTCGTTGAAAATTAGCAAAAACTTGGACCGTCCGTATTATGAAGTTAACGTTTGATACGCGTCTAAAAGACGACGGTGGAAAGAATTCTCGTGAAAACCGGTTTCACGTAGTCCTGTCTTAGTCGTCGTTGTCGTTGTCGTTGTCGTCGATGAAGAAACTCAGCAACGTTAGTACAGCTCCGATTATGATCTTTCTTGTCTATCCAAATAGAATAATTTCTCTATTTCTCTCTCTCTCTCTCTCTCTCTCTCTCTTTCTTTATCTTTTTCTTTTACATTTGTTGTCTTTCTTTTTCACTTACGAGAAGATGCCACGTGCCACGCGTACTGTGTACGCAGCACTCGTGTATGTGTATGTGTGTGTGTAAGTGTTGTTCAACGTGAATCGCAATTGAAAATTATTTTGCTGGATTACACAGCTATCTCTGTCAATTTTTCATTGAATTATTCAACTCGTAGATATCATTGTTCGTAGAAAATAAATTTATATATAAAAAAAGATACAAAGAGAGAGAGAGAGAGAGAGAGAGAGAAATCGATGCAATTTAAATGAGAATTTACAAACGTTCCTTGTCATTTTTCTTTCCTCTTTCTTTTACAAATGTTAAATATACTTCGTACGAATAATAATAATAATAATAATAATAATGATAAAAAAAATTAGAAGAAATAATTGCATATATATCTTGTGTTTCTTTTCAATTCATTCAAAGTCTCTTTTTATCGAGAAGAATTATCGTTCTAATGATACCAGCAAGTCTGAAAATAGCAAATGCTGTTATACGTGATCGTACTAGCATGCATTATCGATGAACTTGAATTTTTTTTTTTGCACGATTCGTATGCGAGAAATATATTAAAAAGAAAAAGAAAGAAAGAAAAAACAACTCAGTGAGTGATAAAATAACGACGAGTGTTTTATCGAACGAATGAAAACATTTGATCGAAACATGTGCTTGGTCGCCTGTTGTGTGAACGATACACACAAATATTTTTATGTCATATTAAAGTTTAACAAAAAAAAAGAAAAAGAAAAAAAAAAGGGAAGAAGAAAAAGTTTCTTCTCGCAAAGGAAATTCTCGACGACGATTGTTAGACGATTATTTATAAATATATGCATGCCTGTTTATATATAACACGAATAAATTAAATAATAATAATTATTAATTTAACAAAATATTACAAAAACATTACGAATATCTTTCTCATCCCTCGGTCAAGAAACAAAAAAAAAAAAGAAAAAGAAAACCACTCGCATCTATTTCCATTTGAAATTCTAAATAGACAAAAAAATGGTTTGTTTAAACAGAAAGAAAGAGAGAGAGAGAGAGAAAAAGTAAACCAAAGAAAAAACCCCCCAAAAGCAATGGTATTATAACGCTTGTAATTGGGTCTCGCGGATAGGAAGATAAAAATAGCGGGAAAATTCAAAACTATGCAAGAGTTAATAGCCTTGTGGGGGGGGTGGTCGTCGTTGACCGATTAAGAACAAAAAAAAAAATAAAACAAAAGAAAAAAACTGACTTGACTTAACTTACCGAGTCTGATTGCTTGAACGTTAGCAACGAATAAAAAGCTCAGTAATATGACGAAAGCGTGAAAAAATAGGATGGTATTGGTCCGATTGAGTCGTAAAGTTCTTTGAGGGTGATAGTCCGTAGTAGCAGCACATCCGGAAGCAGCACGTTCACCACCAGAAAAGACGGTGCGCGGCCGCCGTGGCTCCGGCGCAGCCACCGCCATCGCACACCTCCGTGTCGTCCTCGTTTTCCCTCACCGCACTCCGCGAACACACAGACCCCCGCCGAGCACCCACTTTTCCTTTCCCCGATCGAGGGATGAAACGAAACGAAACGAACGAGAAGTAGTTGGAGGAGGGGGGGGGGGTCCAGAGGAGAGTAAAATATCGGTGATAATTTTCACGCGACTCTAAGAGGACAAAAAAAAAAACAAAAAAGTGCGAACGAAAATGTTCTCTCTTTCACCCCGAGCGCGCGCGCGTATATATATATATATATATATTTTTTTTTGTTTTCTTCTTTCCTTCGCGTTTACGAGCTTTCCCGAAAATGTACGACGAATAACGCGCACTATACTCGGTATGTATATATATATATATATATATATATATATATATTTACGATTCAAAAGTATTACGACTACTACTAACAACTGTCTCTATTGCACTGGTGCTACCCTACCGACCGGCGGGTGTCTACCTGCTGCTGCTGCTGCTGCTATTGGCTACGTCGTTGACCGCTCTTCTCGACAAGGATAGGACTTGACGGGGGGAAGGAGAGGGGGAGGGGGAACAAGTGGCGAGGAGGGAAAAAAAGGGAGAAAAATTGTGAGGGGGAAAAAAAAAAAGKGAGAGAGAGAGAGAGAGGAGAGACGCGAAAGAACCCGACCCGACGGCACGAGAGAAAAAATAGAAAAAGAGAGAGAGAAATTTAGTTGATCTCGTCCGAGCCCTCAATTCATGGCTCGTACGTACGAAGTTAACCCGGTCGCGGACAAGAAGCGACTGACTGCTCGTTCTCGCCGGCAAACTAACATGGTGACACCGCGCGCGCAGCGGCAGGTTGGCCCCGAACCTAGCAAGTAACGTCGACCAATCATAACGCTCCAAATCCAAAACGGCTCCGCACCCTCGATGATGATCGGTCGACGATCGACGCGCCGATCGGATATCTTCGCCGATTCCTCTACTATACATACATACACATACACGCGTGCTCGCGCGCTCGCGTGCGCTACCTATACACCTATCAAAACTCATCTATATGCTTCTCCGCTTTCCATCCTATACATTACTACCTGTTAAACATTTTCTTTTTCCTTTTTTTTTTGCCTAATATCTAGTCTTCTCTCTCTTTCTCTCTCTTTCTCTTTCTCTTTTTCTCGTAATTTTCTTCCTTCCGTTTATCTCAGCATATATTCGAATTATTTTCATTTTATCTCTCTCTCTTTTTTATCTGCAAACAAATAAAATAAAGAAAAAATGTGAGAGAAATCGAGTTGTGAGATGGAATTTGTTAATTATTGTTAATTATTTTATTTACCATTTGTAACACCCACATTCCAAACGTTATCTCTCTTCCCTGTTGCACAAATGTCATCAGCACCTTTTTCTCTTCCATAATTATCTTGTAACCAGCAGATAGAACTATATAGTGAGAACTTTGCATACATCTGTTATTTTTTTTTTTTTTTTTTTTTTTTTTCATTCTTTTTCTTCTTCTTCGTCTTCATTACAAGCTTTACTAATATGGACATTGAAAAATACAATGAGAAAAAGTATGGTAATAAAATAGGTTGAGTTAAGGTAGGCTTTCCCTACGGTTTACAGGTGTAGGGTACCTGTTCCTATTTATATACCTGCTTCTTCTTCTTCTTCTTCTTCTTCTTCTTCTTCTTCTTCTTCTTCTTCTTCTTACTCGACCATCTTTTCAAACAAGTTGGAAATTTATACGTTTCTTTTCTATACTCCAGATCCTTTTTTCTTTCTGTTTTTCTTCTTGTTTTTTTTTTTGTTTTTTCTGAAAAGAAGAATCTCGATTAAAAGAGTATAAAGAAAAAAAATATAATCGATGATTCGTTTTATTTGCTTTACTATTATCCGTGCTATTTTCAATATTAAATCGAATTAAACACCGAGAGAACGATGATTACATTTAACGAATATTAAAATGCAAATTGATATTGGCTTTATTAACAATGCCATTCGTTGTTGTTATATTTCTGCATGCGATCTCTAATCGTTCGAATAACGCTATTGTAATGGCTTTGAAATGAAAGATAAGACCAGACAATCGATGAACGACCTACACGTTAACTTTTCATAAATTCATATCACGTTCATCTTATCCACTTGCCAACTTTAAATAAAAACGACCATATTGTTTATTATGCTCATGTTGTTCCATCATTTCGGTACTATGCGTTATAACAAAAATTCATATTCCAATCATAAATGACACGATTCTTTAATATTTACTCAAAAAGATAATATACTCGTGATTTAATTGTTGTATTTGTTGTAGAAGAAGAAGAAGAAGAAGAAAAAGAAGCAAACAAAACAGACTAATCAAACGTAATTAATCATAATCGGTAAAAAGATAATATTTCGTACGTAATTGGTCCATTAAATTTCTGAACATTGAAAGATTTTCTTTACATAATCTAATAAAGAGAATACGCGATATCTCTGATGAAAGCCTTTTGCATTTAACTATCACATGCATGCACATACACACACAACAGACACATACATACATACATACATATACCTCACTACCACCAACACGACACGACGACAAGACGACGCTTCTAATGACGGGAAGGACAAATTGAAAAAGTGACGGGGGCGGGAAGAAAAAGAAGGAAGAAGAAGAAGAAGAAGAAAAAAAAGGCTTCTCAGAGAGTTACGTCGGACGGAATTTTCCAAATCTACGTGGTACGTGCGGAAAAGCGTATTCACGGGATTTAAAGTGCCTCGGAAATGACACGCTTTGATATAGATATACTACACACGTGACGCTTTAATAAAACCGAATTCAATGAAAATTTTTCTTCTTCTCCTAGATCCAAAGCATTCCTACATAAATTTGTTTTTATTTTTTTTTTTCTTTTACGTTTTCATTCCTCTTCTTCTCGGAGAAAAATCTGTTCCAGTTTTTCCGAACCTTTCGCAAAAAAAAAAAAGAAACAAATTCGTTTCGTTACCCGAATAATAGCATCAACTTCGATATCTGGGTTATATCCGAGTCGCATTTCTTATCTTTGTCATCTCGCAAATGCAGTTACGTGCTGGATTGTGTAAGTTTTGTGTATCTTGAGACTAAATTACATGTTGTTCTTTTGCGCATTTTGCGTATCTGAAGAGTTGTATTTTTTTCTTGCGTATATCCGAACCAAGTGTGTGAGCACAAATGAATACCTAAAACAGATATATAAGTTGAAATAGTTAATAAGGAAATTAGAAAATGTTTTGCAGCGCATACAGGAATAGAAAAAAATATATGAGAGGAAGAAAGAGAAAGAGAGAGAGAGAGAGAGAGAGAGAAAAAGAGAGCAAGAAAAAGAAAAAACGGAGAGAAAGGAGAAAGGTTTCTCGTGAAAATTAGTTCCGTCGACGTAAGACCGTAACATCCTTTGAATCGTTTCGTGGCTTCTATACCGTGTGACAGATGACGAGTTAAACGCTACCCGAGGAAGCCTTATATCAGACAATATCTATCTATGTATGAATGTATGTGTGTCTGTGTATGGGGGTAGGGAATGAAAGGACGAAAAAGAGAGAGAAATCCGGATGCCACGGTGGCTTCGCTTGCATTTCTCTCGTCGGCGCCTTCACGGTACCGCGACATCGCAAGAGACAATAGGAAAGGTCGTGGAGTCCTCTGGCATTTCGCTGAATCTAATAGATATGTTCTAGCGCACGCTCCTATATACACACACACACACACACAAACACACAGAGAAATAGAGAGAGATGCATATACCCGATAAGAAACGAAAGAATAAATTCAAACACAGAAGAATGAAAGAAGAAGGATCAAGGAGAAGAAGAAGAAAAAACCATTGCAAAGATCAAATGATGGATCCAAATGGCAAACTGATGAAAATTAATGGATCCCGCCGATTGGCCAATTCCTGCGCGTTTGTTTATTTTAATGATAATCGATCGAAGTATTTATAAATACAATACGTAGCGTATTAATTAATCGGATTATTAAAATCGATCGATAATAATGCAGAAACAAAAGAGGATGTGCATAGATTTCTTACAAAAAAGGAAAAAAGTAGTGTGACATATGCGCGCGAGCAAGCGCGCGCACCTGTGTCTCTACTAGTCGCGTGGCATGCGTGTATGTGTGTGTGTGCGTGTGCAGCGACACGAAATGAAATGAATAAAAAAAAAAAAAAAAAAAAAAAAAAAAAACAAAATAAAAAAGGAGAGGGCGAGAACGTGTGCGCCGGCGAAGGTGCGCGCGCGGATCGTTGGAGGGAGAACGAGAAAGAGATGGTACTTTGTTATTTTGTTCATGTGCAAGCGGAGAACCCGGCAAGTTGCGCGCTCGTGTTCCTTCCATCGTTCGCCATTTGAATTGGGTGTGGGATTGTATGCGTGTATATGCGCATCTGTATGCGTCCATGTACGTATGTGTATGTGTATGTGTGCATGAACGGCCGCCTGGCACGGCCAGGTACCAAATGCCGCAAGGTCATGACTCGAGCATACACACATAAACGATACGATGCTGCGCCCGCACAGCTCTCTCTCTCTCTCTCTCTCTTTCTTTCTTTAACTCTTTATCTATCCTTTTCTTTCTTTCTTTCTTTCATTCTTTCATTCTGTCTTTTTCTAATTCTTAATCTATCTATCTATCTTTCTCTTTCTCTTTTATTCCTCCGATCTCCATGGAGAACCAATCTCGGGGTCCTCCTCTTACACCAGAAGAGAGTACACCTATAAGAGGGCAACCCATGGAAGGGGAAGAGGAATTACACACGTATATTTACTAAATCTCTGAATGATCGATGCAAGCCTCGAGATTCCGCGTATATTTAGGTCTCGAAAAGTGCAAGGTATTATATACGATTTCCAAATCGTACACAATAAGCAATGTACACAGATGATGATAAAATCCTTACGTAAAATTTATATGTAAAAATGAAAATCCGTAAATTTCCTCGTCTATTGTTTTTTTTTTTTAAATATATTTTTGATATTAAAGATCATTGGAATCTCGTACGTGATATATCTGTAAGTTAATTGAAATATATTGAATATATAAAGTACAAGTAGATTGTTTGGAATATAAAGTAATAGAAAAATATTCAATGACTAGGATCGACCGTAGAAGCGCTTCATTCAAAAATGTCAAGGATCCAAATTCCGTTATGCGGCCTCGCGTAGAAATATTATACGTCATAGTAACAGTGTCTGGATGGATAGATTGGTAATTGCCACACACATCAATAGTTTAGAAATAATAATTTATTCCAATTTGTTGTTGTGTGTTTGTTGTTTCTTCTTCTTCTTCTTCTTCTTTTTTGTTCTCCATTTTTGTTCTCCATTCTTGTCCTCCATTTTTTCGCGATATATCTAATTGAAAGTGTCGCACATATATGCATTTACGTACGTACGTGCGAAAAAAGGAAAAAGGGAATCAGATTCACCGGGAATGTTCAAAGCACGCATTGTTTTTTATTTCGTGTCTCTTGGTTCGCTTTAAAAAGAGACGAGTGCTTGTTTGCTGACGTCGTCAGAGCAGAGAGTGGTACCGAATGGTACCTTTACATTCTCACGGTGGGTAATCTCTTTGCTGTTTCCTACGAGATTGCACGACGCTCGCAAGAAAAGGTTTACAAGTTTCTAAAGACTATTTTATCATCTTTGTAATCAAATCTAAATGAAAAGAAAAAGAAAGAATAATGAAATGATTTTTAAAAATTTTCAAAATTAAAAATCACATCTACAACGACGAATGAAAAATATCGTACTATTAACTTACGTATGTAATTATTGTTGAAAGTACAAATAAATTAATTGGATTAATAAAAATATTGCGTGAATTAAAACGTAATACTCATTATACGTTTCTTAACGTTACTATCTTGTTTAAATTCTAAAAGTCATGGAGAAAAGAGGTTACTTATTCATACACATTCATAATTATGTTTGTGTGAGCGAAAGTCCTGTTAAATGACAATTAAAGTCTTACTTTATTTTAAATATCATTGGAATTATTACAGGAAATTGTATATGCTGATTATATTCCAATTATAAAAAGAAAGAAAGAGAGAGAAGATTTTTTAACGTAACTTCACCTGCATTTATAAAATATTTAATCTTAATGAGGTATAGTTCAGGCGAAATATCAAAAAGGATAGGTTAACGAGCATTATCCAATGAGTTTCTTCTTACCTATCATTCCATCTTCTAATAATGAATAATTATTATTAATTGCAACGTATCGCTTAATCGAATTCATCTTAACGAAATATATTTTGTGCATATACAAGTCAATGATTTGCAATTTATAAAAATAACGTTCGATTACAATTTTTTTATTACTACTATGTTATAAGAAACATTAAAATATTATAAAAGGGTTAGTTACCAGAAAAGCCGTTTCTCATTGGTTAGATTTGAAAATTTCTAAGGAATTCTCCTAGACTCACTTTGATTGGTTAACTTCTTCTTTGATAGCCATTCGCTACGTAATTTCAAATATTGTACGCTCGTTCGTCGAAAACTATTAGATTATTTTCTTAAACTCACTTTGATTGGTTAGATTCTTCTTTGATGCATTTTGGTACAATTATAGGTCATTTCAAACCTTATACGCTCATTCGTTGAATATGTTCGGAAATAGTAGTGCATTGAAAATTGTACTTAATTATATTCCCAGGGATGCAAGTTTCACGATGTGCACATGACGTAACGAATCTTCTGGTATACGCTTAGTAGCCATTTTGTTTTCGACGGAACGGCTGATCAAGGTATTGCATTAAAGATAATTTGTGTTATTTTAGAACATTATAACGATCAATAGTATTAGTGAACAGACAGAAAAACTCATGAATAGTTTACTGCAATTGTTAATATTTCAATCGTCAAATAATGACTCGTGATATATGCAATTGCAGATATAAAAAACTGTTCCGTACGATTGAATACTTTCCAATCGATCCAAATTTCATTTCAACGTTCTTCGATAATGGATGATAATATCTGTAAAACATTAATATTTATTCACAATATTCTCACTACTTATTAAAGATTACGTTGTATATCGATCATAGAAGTCATCCCTAACTGAATTTCTGTTATAAACATACTTATAATATATTTTCAAAGTAATTGATTTAAATTTTTGAAACTCATATTATAAGTTCTTATAAATTGAGTCAACATTCTTTTTATAATATTCGAAATAACACTTGATACGAGTTATCCTCGTATGAGAATTAATATTAAATTAATTTATTAATTATCAAATTTTATAAATTTCTCTGAAGAAAGTAATACTGATTCCTTCATACATATGAATGTATTATATTGATGGGGTTCAATTTAAACCTGAATAATAATTTTCTCTATCTATAGAAAGTGTCGTTAAATCAATTCTATAAGTTTACAATTAGTATTAAATTACAGATGATTATATCATGATATATGATGTATATGTCTCATATGTATATATATATGAGTATATCATGATATATGATGTATATGTCACATATGTATATATATATGAATATATCATGATACATGTAAAAAAAAGGTTAAATAAGAAGCACAGAGATGTTAACATATTAAAATACATAGTATATATTCTCTCGCTCAAAGTCTGCTTGTCTCTTGCAAATGTGTATTTAGAGCCAGTCTCATGTAAAGGCGTGGTGAATTAGAATAGGCTGTTTACTCATAGAAGGCAGTTTCTATCCTTATAGGTATCCAACTGTCCGTTCACCCTGGTCAGTGAGTTGAGCTCTTCGCCATGGATTCAAAACGGCATGAATGCAGCGCCAGGTCGCAAACAGAATCACCACCTACACCGCCTTCACCTCCCCTGTATAGTTCAAGTTACCCAACGCATGACAACTACAAAAGCAGAACAACGCGTCGTTCGCCTTCGCCTACCGACTACAGGGGCAGTAAATCTTCCCGGAATGAATCACCACCGGATAGACGAAGACGTAAGAGGAGTACGTCAAGAACTTCTCCAATCCGATCTCACAGACGGTCTCGTTCAAGTGACAGAGACAAAGATCGAGATAGAGACAGGGAAAGGTCACGAAAATATTCACGAAGAGATAGATCAAGATCCAGATCGAGGGGAAGATCTCGTTCAAGAGACAGAAGACGTAGTCGTAGCAGAAATAGAAGTAGAGACAGGCATAGATATAGAGAAAGTCGTAGGCATCATAGAGCGCCGTCCTATGAATCAGATGCTTTTGAAGATCACTCTGATACGGTTGTAGCACAACAACAACCTCCTCCGCAACCAAATGCTTTTAAAAATGATGGAAGTTTTATGGAAATGTTTAAAAAAATGCAAGAACAAATGCAACCTACGCAACAACCAACAACTTCTGTTCTCGAAGAGAAACCTGTAATACCGCCACCTCTAATGGTTGGTAAAAGGCGAGGTGGAAGAATTCTTAAAACTGGAATGGTCGCGAAGCCAAAGACTGAGCCAACCGCAGAACAACCTAAGGATGCATGGTCGCTTTATATGGCAGAAGTGAAAAAATATCGTGAAGTTTGTTGTCAGGAAGAGGATAATACCAGACCGCTGGTCAAATAATTTATTTTCTTTCTTCTTCTTTGTCGTCTCATTATTCCTGTAACAAATGTGCTGTGAACGGACATTAGTTCTTCTTTTAACTTTACTTTTATTTTTTTTTTTTTTTTATGATCGTGTCATTAAGTGACAATACCGAACAGTAGTCTAATCTACTCGCACTTGAATAATTTCAATATAAATATATGTATAATTTTTAAGGGTACGAGATGTCATTTTTAAAAGGAAATTAAGTTTTAATTAAATCTATGTTTAATATACATGTATGTCTAATGTATGGTAATTTGAAACTGTATATGAACGCTTTTGTAGAGAAAGCTTATTATTTACATGGTTTCTTTATGCCTGAAAGAGAGAAAGAGACTATGCATATAAAGAAAAATAATAAAAGAAATGAAGGAAATTGTGATAGTGATTAGGTGAGGCAAGAGACATATGGCCTAGAGCGAGGGATTGTATACATAAGCTAAGCTAATGTAGCAAAGGGTTGAAAAGGGTGACACATGTAATATTTAAATGAAAAGAAATTCAAATAGAAATTAAGTAACTTATGTAACTTGTTAAAGAGTATTCTAAACTGCTGCCATCATGTCACAAGTACAGTTGAAGACTGCGCCATTCGATCCAAGGTTCCCAAATCAAAATCAAACAAGGTATGACTTTTTTGATCGTATTAAAAAGAAAACTTGATATCATTAATAATTTGAATGATTTATTACTAATGACCTTAATGCATAGATACTGCTACCAAAGTTACTTGGACTTTCATCGGTGTTCCAAAAAACACAGCTCAGATTATGAACCCTGTCAGTACTTCAAACGAGTCTACTCTTCGATGTGCCCAAATGAATGGGTTGAAAAATGGGATACTCAAGTAGAAGAAGGCACATTCGCTGGAAATATTTAGAAAAGATTGTTATCCATAAATTGTTCCTTCCCTCATTTAGTGAATTATTTGCCAATAACAGGACATTCAGAAATCATTTTCTCCTGTTTGTAAAAATAATGATTAATTATTAAAATGAAAATATAAATGTCTATTAATGTGTGTACATTTTTTTAATACCTTTAAAGCACCTCTAATCTTATGACAATTTTATTTCTCTATATTTTTTCTTCTTTTCTTTTCTTCATTTAATACAAAAATCTACGCTGTTCAATAAATTTAAAAAATTTGTTATTGTAGGATTGAAACGTAATCTGTAATTTCTATGTATAAGAATAGTTTTATTTTAATACGTAGATTATAGTTGATCTTATAATTTTATATAATAACGCGAATATATATTATTATAAAAAAGAAAATTTATATTTAAATATTTGACAATTTTTCAAGGTTATCTGTAAACAGTAATTCAATTGTCATACCTCATCAATAAAAATGGCTGACGTTGCTTTTGTATTTACCAAACAAATTGTCTTATATTTAATACAACAGTTTAATTGAAAACAAAATACGATAAACATGTCGAATAGTTTGAGTGCAATTAATGACAATTATTTGTCTGATTCTTCAGATGAAGATGAAGAAGAAGAAGAAGAAAAAAAAACATTGAGAAAAACTGGTGAAACGTAATTGGATATTTATTGGTTAGAATTTGGATTATTTAAAAACTTAAATAAACAAGATGTAATATTTTTTTCTTTATAGTTTATCCGTACCTGAAAGTATTTTGTCGTGGAAAGGTGTTCCTCATCATGAAGAAAAAATTGATAATCCGTCAGAACATAATGGAAGGATTCGAAGTTTTAAACACGAACGTGGCAATTGGTCAACGTTGATTTACATTAATTGTAATTGATACATTTTTGTAGAAAAATTTTGAAATGTAAAACAGGGATGGCAAATAAGTGGGACATGTGCTGACCTTGACACGGGAGCAATTGTTGATGATACTCGTTGCACATATGCAAAACTCCATGTTCAATCAAATTTCATTTCAAGGGACGGGTCATTCAATGCTATCATAAATACAATGTCGATGAGACTGAATGAAAAAGATCACAATAAATTTTACATTATTTTGGTACGTAGATTAAATCTTATTTGCCATCCTTAATGTAGAATGTAAAATGAAATGTTGAAAAATTAAATAAAAACATGAAAGTTTACATAGTGCAAGTATCAGAAGATATAAATAATATTAAAACGTTTTAATATTGATTCCAGATACAGCGACTGATGCTATGCTTTCTTGGATAAAATCGATAGAAACTTTGTTGCCAAAAGACAGCAACATATTATTAGACCAATTTCATCTTAGTCTTACTCGAACATTGGTACTTAAATATCACTGGATCGAATCATTTGTTAAAAGCTTGAAAGAATTATGTTCGGTATTAGTAAGATTTTATATCGAGTTTACGGATATTAAAGTATATTGCAACGAAGAAAAAACTCGTACATTTCTTGCAATAAGTTGTTCCAATACTATGTTAAATTTTATCATTAATCTTATCAATAATATGTTGGCCGAATATCAGTTACCACCTTATTATGAGGTAAGGATTAATATTGTTAATTACATATATCAGATTTGCTGTTATGATATTGACATCATTATATTTTAATGATTTTCTTTCTTTTAAAGGATCCTTCAAATCATATAAGCATCTTTTGGTGGATAGGAGATAAAGAAGATTGCCTGAATAAAGTTCTACCTTCGATCAAATCTAATTTTGAACAATTTTATGTTAATAATACCGAAGATAACTACGTATATGTTGATGAATTACATTGTAAAATAGGAAACAAGCTTTATACATTTCCATTAAAATTGCATGACCATAGGTAACCATTCATATGTAAATGAGTTAAATTGTAAAACGGAAAACAATCTTTTTACATTTTATTTAAAACACATCAATTTTAATGTAAAAAATATAAATATTAATTATAACTTAATAATAATAATAATATACATATGCCTAGTTAAATTTATAAGCCACTTACAAACTTTATTTACCATTCTTAATATTCTAACTACGTCGGGTTAAAAATAGTAAGATTATGCGGTAATTTATGTACAACGCCTCTTCCTTCCCACAAAATTAACCAAGACTGGCATATATCGGATATCATGTTAACAATTAAAGTACAGATTTCAGGATTCTTTATAGTTATATTTGGATCAGGTGGTTCCGTAATAGTTTTGCATCCACTTACATCTATATGTGTTAACGTAGGCCTACGATTCAACAACATATTTACCGATACCGAGGAAATTTTTGAATTACCATTAAATATTATTTTAGTAAGATTTGGTGCATGTAGAAGTATAGTTTTAACATCGTCGTCAATAATGTCACAACAAGATAGTTCAAGCGATTCTAAAGTCATGAAAGAAATTTTGGAATTCTTAATAACATCTGTGATAAATGAATTTCGAGTTGGATGCAATGTATTGGACAAATTTAAATTAACTAATTGTCTTTGTAAAAAATGGCAATCACTGTCTCCGTTTAAAAAGTTCCATGATAAATCCAAATTAACGAGATTATTACTTTCGATGGAAAATTTAAAATTATCTAACTCGCAATGTCGTAAATTTAACGTTTGTAAGTTTTTTAATGGTACAATCAGATTATGAAGTGTTTCTTCGGAATTAGGCCCCAGTGGATTATAACTGAAATCCAATACTCTCAGTTGCACCGGTAATTTTTCCATCTTTAATAAACAATTATAATCGATGTCGCATCGTTGCAAATATAATTCTTGCAAAAGCGATAAATTTAATAGGCAATTGGATAAAATTTTTCCACTGTTGAGAAATACTCCTCCGGATAAATAGAGTACTTGTAAATTTTTCTGATACTCCAAAGCTTTGAGCAAAGGTTCGAGTTCCATTTCTTTTGTTTCGTCTGATTTAAGACGAAAAACAGAAGTGTTGTCGCACGATTTAAGACATTTTATAGTTATCTCTTCTGGCACTAAAAGTATCAAATATTTTTTGTTAGAATTTTGCAATTATTGGGTAACAATAAAACTAATTTTGTAGTATTACCTAATTGAATAGTTCTGCAAATTGTTTTATACCTCTCCACGATGGATGGTATTTCTATTTTGATGATATCACATTTCAAATATTTTATATTTTTACTTTCTTTTATAATATGGATAACATTTTCCGAAGAAACTGTACCTCCATCCATTGTCTTTAAAACAAGTTCCACTATACATCCGGTTTCATCATTGAATTTTTTCTTCGTATCCTCTAAAATGTTTTCTAATATTTCGCTCTTATCTTGATCGAGTATAATTAATTTTAAATCAAAAACTTTATTTTTTATAGAAATCTGTAGATTCGTTGTTATTGCATTGTTACTTTGTTGAGACGTGTTATCCAAAATAATAGAACAAATAGGTGAAGGAGTACGAGATACTGAATTTTTAGTAAAACCGGTCGAAAATAGAGACATTTGTTTATTTTTCTTTCTTCTAAATTGTTTAGGAGAGTTAGGAGGGCTAGTTATTTTACTTGCATTGCTATTATCACTTTCTATTAACTCAATATTATCATTTTCTTCTTCCTCCTCATCTGAATCAATTCTTGGTCGTTTTACGTATATACTACTTGTCTCGTCATCTACATTGAAACTACTTGATTTTCTCTTATTAGTTGCATTGGAACTATCATTTAGAAATTTCTTTTTGGAGCTGATGTCCATGTCATCTTCTAACCAATCGTCAACTAAATCTTCTTTGGTATCTACAAGAGGATTTGATATTTTACCCCTATCGTTGGAATTTGTGATCGGTCTTATCAAACTACCTCTGTGTTTTAAACTAGCTATCGTTCTTTTATAATCCTCTCCAGCAGATATTTTCATAGGTTCTACTTCCTCGTTCTCTGTTTCAAGACTTATTAATTTTTTATAATCGGTTTTAGTTATAGGAGATTGTTTTTTCGAATCTTTTATGTTCACCGGAACCAGCGGTAGTAACTTTTTATACATATTCTCGTATTCTATTAGTTCGCTTTGCGATAAGTCACCTGCTCGATTTTTCCAACTTTCTAAACAGTCTAACACCGTATCTCCTTCTTTGGTTCTAAGAATAACATTTGCGCCGTATTTCATCAACAAATTCATCATAGCTAAATTGCCGCATGATGCTGCATCGTGAAGAGGCGTAATACCCCCGCACAACGATCCACCTGGATCATTAACTTTCGCTCCATTTTTAAGTAACAATTCAGCTATTTCTATATAATCGTGATTAGCAGCTTCGTGAAGAGGAGTCCAACCGCAGTGATCTCTTACGTTAGTTGGATGTCCTGCTGCTAAAAATTTTTCCACGTTTGCTGTATTGCCTTTAATACATGCAACGTGAAGTTGCGTTTCTCCTTTCTCATTTCTCCTCACTGCGAGACCTCTCTTAAAGCGTCGTTTTGTTGTTCCAATATTTTCTTTAGATTTTATTTCATTTTCCACATCCGATAAATCTTCCAAACAAATATCTCCACCGATATTTACACTTTCTATTTCACTTTCGCTTTCGCTTTCTTCATCTATAAGATGATTCGTCAAACTATTCAATTTTTCTTGGATCATTTCCTTAGTATCTTTATCTTCGATTTTCTCCAAATAAAGTAAAAAGTTTTTTAGAACGGATATTTGAAGTTTATTATCTTTAGACTGTTCCACCGTGGACAATGCTAAATGGAAAGATTTTTTAATTTCACCATCAGATGATTTAGTGGCTATTTGTAAGTCGGCTAAAAAGAGAGCGGATCTACAAATTTCACGTGGATCGTTACATAGTTCGAGTTCTTTAACAGCATATTGCAATGCTTCATCGTAACGATCAACATCGCGCAAAGTTTGCGCCAAGCTTGTTAAAGCAGCACCTATTTTTTCGCTTCCACTATCTTCAGCACATTTTAACATCTCTCGATAATAATCGATCGCTTTTTCGAAAGAATTTACGACTACTGCGGCATCTCCTAATGTTTCATACAACTTTAGTTTAACGGATATATCATCTTCGATTATTAAATTTTCTTCGTTTCTGCATATTGTTACCACTGAGCCAAAATCAAATAATATTTCTATTAAAACAGATTGCTTACATTTACAATTAAATTTAACAAATATTTGTAAGCTTACCAATCCTTAAATATTTCTCAACTTGTTCGTTTATATTTTCTGGTAATCCCTTAGTTAAAAATAAAGAGACTAATATTTTACGTGCATCAGTCCATTTTCCATTCTTTAATAATAACTCTGTTTTGGTAAGACGTGCTACGGCTTTTAACGATATATTATTTACATCCGCAGCAGCATCAAGATGTTGCAATGCTAATTCAGTTTTTCCTTGATTTTCATAAATAGTAGCTAGAGCAATATTTATTCTATGTAAGTCTTCATCTAATTTATGTTTTTTACATAATGTGGCTGCCTTTTCTATAAGATCGATTGCTTGTTCAGGTTCTTCCTGAGCTTCAAGTACCAAGCCTAGATTCAAGAGTAATCGTGTACGCATTGTCATCATTTCTTCTAATTTAATATTTGAATTTTCTAATCTGTAAATAGATACACATAAACTCACATATTCACACACACAGTAGGTATCATTAAATAGAGTATAAGAATAAAATTATATATTAACCCCTTATACTGTAACATGTGAGAATTGTGATACGCTTTACAGCCCAAAAAATAGCAAAGAATATGACAAAAAGCTCGACACATTAAATCATAGCGCAAGGGGTTAAAGATTAAAAATGTATGAAACATTTCTTACTCATTACAAAGACAAATACTCCTCGTATACGCCTTTTTAGCATCGACTAAAACATTTTTTTTTTTATCTGATTCTTCAGATAGCGTATCAGCGAAACAAAAATATGTTCTTCCTAACGTAGCAAATGCACGCTGTTCTTCCAACAAATTCTTCACCTTTTTGGCACCCTCTGTTCTAACATATAAATTAAATTAAATAGTCGTAATCTTATCAAATAACTAATTAATTTTAATTCTTTGTATGTAATGCACAAACCAAGGTATTCGTTGAGATGTATCAGCGCGTCTTCATAATTACCAAGACTGGTATAAGTTTCACCGATCATTCTATGTGCAACCGCAGTATTTAATTCATCATTTAAAATTTCACAAACTTCTAATTGTTGATGATATTCTTTTAAAGCATCTTCGAATTTTCCAGTTTGATAATACAAATCTCCAAGTTCTTTAATAATTTCAGCCAACTGTTGCAAATTTCCATCACGTTTGAGACGTTGTTTTCTTTTTATAAGTCCTGATTTTGAATAATTGAGAAAATATTTATTAAACTAATACATTTTTGATATTGATATTATCATTAGAACAGAGAAAATACTTACTATCTTCTTCCATGTTGCATTAAAACTGTCTGTCAATAATAAAAATTAAATACCATCATACATAACCTTACATCTGCATCACGTTTTAATATACACACTATTTTATAATCACAACACACTGTGTTAATATTTATTTATGATATAACATTAATTAATTAAATTTTGAAAATGTTTTGTTTTCAATATAATTAAAAAATTAGAATTTTATGTTAATTTAAATGGAATAAATGTCACAAAATGTGTGCGTGTGTAAAGCGATTGAATTCAACAAGTTGTCTTTTACGATGCGCGCGAAATTTAAAACGACATCCTTATCCGCCATTTGTACGCAATGAATAATAATTCGCGACGAAATAATTATAATATATTCTTATAATTATATATTTTTTTTCCTTTTTTTTTTTCTTCTTAATAATGATTTATTCAATATATATTTTTTTTGGTAAAAATGAGAAAAAGTGTGAAGAAAAAACACATGTTTGTTATTTTTTTCTTTTTTCGTACGATATACACATCGACTCTTTTGGCAACTTTATTCTTTCGCATTATCGAAACTTCACACACAGGCATATCTTTATGGTTGTAATTTATATACACGTACATACACATACAATATATCACGATAAGAAATAAAAATCGTTCTCCCTAAAAGTTAAATATAAATAATTAAAATAAAAAAAAGAAAAGAAAAAACGTAGAATAAATTGGGAAAAAAAGATTATACATGTAGATATATTTTACTTCTTTCCTGTCCTCTTTTTTATAGTCTTCTTCATCTTGTCATTTCTATATGATAATTATTTCA